AGGCCAATTCCATTTTATTGATCACGCTTTCGAATTACCTACCAAACTTCCTAGTCAATGGAATTAAATGGAATCAACAGATATAAAAAAACAAATATCTTTGATCGACCTTTGCACATACCATTCACAGAGAATGATTGAGAGGGTTAACTAGTGGCATGGTGAAAGGCTCAAAGCTAAGATCAGAGTAAAGAAGGTGAAGAAAAATGAAGGATCTATGAAATATCAAGAAAGTTGAATAGATGCCATTCTATTCCAATGTCTTGGATAAGATGGCCAGATCCCACCTGACTGACTAAGGGGTTCGCATCCCAGACCTGGTTAGAAAACAACACCGGGCACGTGTGTGTGTGTGTGTGTGTGTGTGTGTGTGCCCCACATCCCAAGAGGAGAATGAAGAAGGGACTGCAGCATTCTCATCTCATGTGTGTATGTTGGGGGGGGGGCTCTTTCTCATATTTCCTCTCTCTCTCCAGTGAGCACTAGTGTTCTCTCACAAATTAAAAATGAGAGAGAATTACTGAGCTAGAAATATTCTTCTCTTAAAAATACTTAGGTTTATAGGCCTTATGAAAAGTTGTTCTGGAGGTACATTTTTAAATGGAAAAGTGTTGCAGCAATACCTGTAAAAAAAATCTTAGAATGCACTATCATTCTCTCAGAGTTCATAATCATCTTGGCGATGTCTTACAGAGAGGCTTTTTAGTCCTGCATATTTAAAAATAGACTCTTTGGCCAGCTTGCTGGCTCAGCGGTAACTCAATGCTTTGTGATATTGTGACCGTGTGGGAGGATCCGGGTTCTTGCCCAAGGTCTCCCTGGGCACGCCAGCATGTAAGCTCATGTCGGTGATCTTGGCAGGCTAGAGCTGGTGTACGGACTCTGCTGGGGTACTTCTCTCTCTCTCTCTCTCTCTCTCTCTCTCTCTCTCATAGAAGAAATAAATAAACAAACTTAAATAAAAATGAAAATAGTCTCCTTAAAAGCAGAGTTTATATTTCTAGTACATTCCCTAAAAATACCCATACAGGATCTGGAAAAAAAAAAAGAGTGTGGGTGGTCATTATCCCAACAAATGAGCCTCAAACTATATACTCTATTAAATAAGAGGGATCAGCTGTCAGCGTTATGACTATGTCACTGCACTCCCATGTAGTCGACCATGGTTCGAGTCCTGGACCCGGTGGTTTGAACTCACACTGGGCATGTGTGCATGTGTGCGCAAGATCCAAAGAGGAGAACGGAGGAGAAGGGTTTGCAGTGTAGCCATCCCCCCTGCGGGGTGATTTCTGGCTTTCTGTCTCTTTGTCTCTCTCTGTCTTTCTGGCAAGTGTACAGGCCCTATAGCAAAAATAAAACAAAACAAAACTCTCCCCCAAAAAAGAAAAAAAGATATTTTCCAGTATATACAAATATGGCAACATTATTGCTCTACACGTTCAACTTGCCAATTTTACCTTTCCAATAAAGAGTTCTAATTATAAGTACAATTGTTACATTCCCCAAACAATATACAATATAGGCCTTCTAATTAATTTCTTTTAATCCTGAAGTTTTATTGTAATTTGGCATTATATATCAAGAAGTCTAAAAACTTTCTCACACTTTTAGTCAGTAATATTCTTTTTTCTTTTTTTTTTTTGGAGAGGTTTTCGCTATAGGGCGTGTGCGCTCGCCGGGCAGACAGAGAGAGACAGAGAGACAGAAAGCGAGAAATCACCCCCCAGGGGGGATGGCCACACTGCTATCCCTTCTCCATTCTCCTCTCGGGATCTTGGGCACGCACGCACATGCGCCCGGCGTGAGTTTTAAGACACCGGGTCCGGGACGCGAACCACAGTCGACTACGTGGGAGTCCAGCGACATAGCCATTATGCTAACTGCTGGTTCCCAGTAATATTCTTTCTGAAAACCCAAACTAAAGGTATAATTCTGGAATGGGAGAAGGTTTATACACAAGATATTCATTCAAGCATTACTTGTAAAGGTAGATTTTCTTTTAATTGTGGATTCCTCGTCAAAAGTTAGAGAATGGGGATCAACAAAGGCATAGTGATTATGTCATTGGATTCCCATGTAGTTGACCATGGTTTGAGTTCTAAACCTGCAGGCTTGAAACACACTGGGCACATGTGCATGTGTGCCCAAAATCCTGAGAGGAGAATGGAGGAAAAAGGACTGTGGTGTGGCCATCCCCACAGGGGATGATCTCTCGCTTTCTGTTTCCGTTTCTCTTGTCTCTCTGGCAAGTACACACACCCTATAGCAAGTCTCTTTCTTAAAAACATAAAGTTGGAGAATGACTGGCTTATCACTGATCTAAGACAAATACAGCTAACCAACAATGAAAGAATAGTTCATTCTATTCTATCCTATAATCTAGCCATCTTAACTTTTATCTTCTGTGCAAACCGGAACTTGGAGCTGGAATTTGGAGCTGGTTCCATGGCACATTCCTATGGCTCATTGTTTGGAGCAGCTAGAAAACGTAGGCATATCGGTGCGAGTAATAAAAGCATTCCATGTACAGTCCTCAACATTTCATCGGTCATCTTCCAAACCAAGCCTCAGAAATGACCTTCTGAGGTAGAGTTTAGCATTTGTACTTTTCAGTTGATGTAATGGCCTCACAGACAAAAAGGAATTTGCCTTAAGTGATAAAGGGGTAGGAAGAGAACTCAGTTCTTCTAACTCCCAATTCAGTGATTGTTCCTTTTTTTGCTTTCTTGTCATTATAACATTATTGTCAGAGATTTTTTATTTTCCTCACAAGGTAAAATTTCTGAGTAAGTGGTTCTCTTGGAGGGCAACCAAATAGTTCCTTCAAAGAAGGCAAACGCTCACTCTGACACAAACATCCCCTCCACAATTTCCTACTTCCTGTGGCCTGCTCTTGAGGCAAGGATGCACAGAGAAGCCCGAGAGTCCAAACATGATTATCATCAGGTCCCAGGAAAAGGCCACTCTACCCTGCCTGGTAAATGGCACTGCGGCAGTGCTTTGTCAGGGGCCAGCTAAAAATATTAACCCGTGGAGAAGGACAACTTTTTCTTGCAAATAAAGCAAAAAGCAAAGTTAACTATCATTCAGGGTGGTTTGTAAACCACTGAAGGTAAATGTGGCTATGTTAATCAAACCAAAAATTGATGGGAAAAATGAATAATACCTTGAGTCTTTTACAGAAAGAAAAATGAATAATGCTTCCTAAATGATAAAATGAAGGAGGTACTCAGTTCTCCACCAGGGTCCCATTGGCAATTCCTTTTGGGTATTGTCATCTAAATGATGCAGTGCCCAACATGTCCACTTAAAAAAATAATAATTACTTACGTTTTTAAATTTATTATTATTGTGTCTTAGTTTGCTATAGGGCACATGTGCTCACCAGAGAGAAATAGAGAGAAAAAGCAAAGAAGCAAGCCACCAGATCCAGGACTTGAATTGCAGTTGGCCATGTAGGAGTTCAGCACCTTAACTACCATGCCACTTGCTGGCCTGAGCATGTCCATTCTTGAGGCATTTCACTTGTGACTGAAATTTCAGAGAAGAAAAGTAAAAGTACTGTCTTGGGCTGTGTGCTGAAACCCTTGGCCAGGAAGGAAGGAGCTGATGTCTTGATAAACAGTTCCACCATGGTTTCATGTAATAGATGGGAATCGTTCTCCAAAGATGGGATCCACCCTCGACAGTTTCAGTTCACACCTGTTTTTCAGAAATAACCATTTAGAAATCACTTTTCACTCACAAAAATGTCTGAGTTTTGACAATGAATTACATGCTCACTCCTCATAAAGAAAAGAATAGGTCTTCTGTTGTTACCAAAGAGAGAATAGGTGATGCTGGGCAGATACAAATAGCTATCGTTACAGGACAAAACAAAGTGTTTTGCTCCCATCTGTGAGGACAAAAGATATAAATCAAAGTCAAAAGCCCTTATAAGTCTTGGTTCCGATTCCACCATGCAAATAACATTCCTATACTCATGGGTGGAATCATTTCGACTTTGACCCAATTGTTCCATTCCCTTTTCTTCCTACGTCCTTGCTCTGAACCACTAAATGTTAAGGTGTTTTCTTTCATGGCTTCTTTTTTAGCTTAATTGGTGCTCTCCTGCTTTCTAAAATAGAATGCTAACATCCATTCACCCAGCTGGAGGGTCAGGGTTATACCAGATCCAATATTCCCCAAAGTATGTGTAGGCTGGTTGCTATATGACTGACTGCTGATTAATAATAAGGGAGTCAAATAGTGCCTTTTGATTCTGATTTCCTCTGAGAGGCTGTTCTACAAGCATGGGGTCAACTTAAAGGAAGTGGGGTTTTGTTTAATATTTTCTCCTCTCATTAGTGCACTTAAATTACTTTCTTGTAAACTCTGCTTGTTACCTAAATGTACCAGCACTTTTGTTACCTAATTAACTTTCTTATCAGAATTCCAACCAAAAATAACAAGAAATGTAATAATGATAAGGTATCCTTCCCCCTCAAAACAGATTTCCTCTTGTACTTTATCTCTTGGTACTGTTCTGGCTTGTTTAATTAAAGTATCAGAAATGATTAGACTCAAATTATTTCTTGATCTAGTGCTCAAATTCTCCTGAAAAACTGCTTCTTCTGCCTCAGTATTTAAACCTTTATCAGTGTGAGGCAGATGAGCTTCCACACGTATTCAACTGGATTCATGTAAGTCAATATAATTTTGGAGGGAGAGCCTTATTTAGCCTCTAAGTAATTAAACAAACAAATCAGATTTGGCTACACTGAACTACCATGAACCATGAACATTTAAATACTCATATCAAAAAGCCTGTGCTCCTGGACCATTAAAATAAACCACATTAATGTGCAAAAAAAAAAAAAAAAAAAAAAATCTCATGAAGTTTTAGCATGGAAATGTGAAATTCAAAGCAACACCATTACTTGTTTTTTTTCATTAGAGGGGAGGGGTAAAAATCACCCAGTTCAGACCACTAACATAAGATGTATTTCAGGAGAATCATCATGTCTGTTACAGGCTTCATAAGAACGGATGAGAAAGTACCCTTTAATCACAGCATTGAGGAGACAAAAACTATAAGACATACTGACTACTTCTTTTCATCCTACTCTCTGAAAAAAATCCAGGTTGGACTATGCCTGCTTCTGGTGGAGCTATGTGAGAGGTTCACTTTTTTTGAAGTCGTCTGCAACATGATTCCCTTTTGCACTGTCAAGCTTGGCTATCACAATTACCAGGCAGCCATTTTGAACCTGTGTTTTATTGGAACTTCAATACTTACCCCTGTGTTGGCAGGATGGCTTGCTGATGTCTATCTAGGAAGAAACAAACTGGTGTATGTTTGCTTATTTCTACACTTTCTAGGTGAGTGTTTGCTGACTGGATTGTTTTGCAGTTTAATTGAATAGATGCTTGTTAGCATTTTTTGTTAATATTATTTCCAGCCTGTTCTTAGCATAATATGTGATAAAATGAAAAAGCTTATTTTATTTCATTTTCTGTATTTGAAAGATGGCAGTAAATGTGTGTGTGTGTGTGTGTGTGTGTGTGTGTGTGTGTGTGTGTTAGAGGATGCTTTGATTCCTAAATCATTGCAGTTATTATATTTTACAATAATTATTTCTTTACATGTCTACCTTCTACACTCTTTAGAATGCCCTCCTTTTCCCCTTCCTTCCCTAAGCCCAAATTAGTGACAAATTCTATGTGAAACATGAAATTCATTTGCTTCACAACTAGGATAAAATGTGCTAAAAAGGTTATAGAAGTTCATGTGGAATAATTGAGAAAATTTTTTTAATCAAAAGGTGGACTTTTAATTAGTCATATAATAATTAAGATTGCATATGGAGACATGGCTTCTATATTATTAACTACGGTCATATCCTTTTTAAAAAATGAGTGAATTTAGATACCACACTGTTTCTTTACAAATTCAAAAATAAATATGCATACAAAAGTTTAGGAGTAAAGTGTGAAAAATGTTGGGGAACTATCAAGATAGTTTGATAAGGAATAGGGAGGAAGTTGATGAATATTCTAGAACTTTAGGTTGAAAGTTCAACTTATTCTTTTTAGACAATAGGAATGATAAAAGAAACATTTGAGAGACACTTCTTGGAAAATAAACAGGATAAGATAACCATAGTGAGAGGTTAAATAGCCAGAGATCAGAAGATCTCAAGATGGGACCAGCAGATGATGTAATGGTTAGGTTGCTGGACTCCCACATAGCCAACCATGGTTCAAGTCCCAGACACATAAGCATGTGTGCCCAAAATCTCTAGAGGAGAATGGAGGAGAAGGGAATTGCTCATGGCCATCTCCCCAGGAGTGGTGATTTCTAGCTTTCTCTCTCTCTCTCTCCCCATCTCGCCTTCTCTCTCTCTCAGTCTCTCTGGTGAGCACACACACTGTACAGCAAAAAAAAATTTCTCAGGAAAAATGAAGATTTCAAGGTGGTGGTCTAAGTCATAGAGATGTGCCACTTCAGGAGAGAAGTGAAAAACTATAAAAACTTGGCAACTAAATAAATGCACAAATATGAAAAGAGAACAAAACTTAATTTCAAAGTTCTGAGCTGGAGAGGAACTTGGAAAGGCAGTGTGCTATTTACCCATAGTGAGAAGTGCAGCTTAAATGCATTTGGCTGGGGTGTGGGGAAAAAGGAGAAAGGGAAGGATAGATATCAGGTATTCTACATATCACAGTTTAAGGCAGGTAGTAAATTACCATTCTGGGAATGGATTAGACTGTAGTTCAAGCTTGTAAACTTCACTGTTTAAATTCTATGAAATAAAAGCTAAGTTGCTGCACGGCAAATACTCACCATTTAATAAATATTTTTTATTGACTATTTTCTGTCAGGCATTGGTTAGGGTCTAGGAATACAGAGAAGAGAGTAGTCTCTTACTGCTGAAATGGACTTTCTGGTGAGGGGAAAGAGAAAATTAACAAGGAACTAGGTGGTAACAAGTGTTAAAATGAAAATAGAGCTGGGTAATGGGACAGGATTTAATAGTGACACGGCTGCTATCTTTTATCAAGGAATACTTTCTGATAAAGAGGAATTTAAGCAAAGATTTGAACAATTTACTATCCTTAACTTGTAATCAGCTATGTTAGTAGTATTTGGTAACGTCTTATTTAACATGGAATGCTTATCAATTTTAAATCCCAGAGTAAGTTATCAGACTAGGACAGAAATCCCAGCTTTGGAATCTGGCAAACGAAAGACCTATATCAACCCCACATCCATTTATTTTCTTATCAAAGTCATTTCCTATATCCCCCACTCACAGCTGCCATCAGATTTGAACCAGTCACTAAATATCAGAGTTTCTATCAGAAATGTCTCTTCTGTCTGAATTGCTCCAACCTTAGTTCAGCTCAGAAATGCCATTTTTTTCTTGACCATTACAATGACCTTTACTAGGCTGCTGTCTGACTCCATACAACATTCTAACAAGGACACTGAAGTCCTGTGTTCAACCACACCCATCATACTTATATAACTACATTTATTACTTCAGAATATATTGGGTCATTGGAAAAGTTATGAAAAATTTTTGCATAGAAAAATACATCATGACTTTTCCAACAACCCAGTAATTGTTCCCCTACATATATGACTTTTCTGATGGACTCAATAGCTCCTAGAGAGAAGACCCTACCCCAAACAAGGGATATGACACATTATAGTGCTTTAACAGAGCTATCAAATATAAGGGGTCTTCAAAAAGCCAATGGAGGAGCCAACAGATAGTGTGGTGATGTACTGGATTCCCACATGACTGACCATGGTTCAAGTCCCAGAACTGGTGGCTTACTTTCTCACTTTCTCTCTCTCTCTGGTGAGTACATGTGCCCTACAGCAAATTTTAAAATAATAACAACAATAATTAATAAAATTAAATAATTATTTTTAAAGTCAATGGAAATGGAATTAATGTATGAGTTTATTAAGACGCAAAAGCTTTTAAATCCATACATAGTTTTTCATCACACACAGTTTCCTTGAACTTTTTGAAGACCACTCATGCAGGCATGTTAATTGTGTGGTACACATCAAAGAGGAAACTTTCATCATATATGTCATAGATGTGCATTTTGTTACATCAACTCTACAGCAGATAGCTAGAAATAAAATTTTGTCCTGATTATGATTTTTTTTTTTCAAAAGATGGATGGGAAGTGTCCTTCTAACTCACACAAAGGCACCATATGGACCAAAAATGCCCTATCCTTAAATAATGAGTTGATGCATGAAATAATTTTCTTGCCCATCTTTTTTCAAACAATAATTTAAAGAAATCACCTATGTGTAGTTGGTCAATCATCTGTTACCAAATAACTGCTGCATGTGTATCCTTTTGCATTATGAAAGTCACTGTAGGGGAGATAAAAACATTAGACCTTTTTTTTTTTTTTTTGAGAGAGAGAGTGCTCGCCAGAGACACAGAGAAAAACAGAGAGACAGAAAGCGAGAAATCACTCCACCCCCACTCCCAGAAGGGAATGGCCATGCTGCAGTCCCTTCTCCTCCTTCATCCTATTGGAATCTTAAGCACACAGGCACATGCACCTAGCCTGAGTTTTAAGTCACCAGTTCTGGGACTCGAACCATGGTCAACTATCTGGGAGTCCAGCGATATACCATTATGCCATCTGCTGGTTCCTAGACCTAATTTTAAATCTATATTAGATAACATAGTTGAGAAAATGAACCACATAAAACAACTATATACTAAAATATTCATACCAAAATATATCAAATTAATAAAATGGGAACAAAACTATTGTGGAGAAGCTATTTTTCACTAAATCAAAACTGGCAAAATAAAAAAATTAATATAGTAACTAATATTGATGAAAGCCATTTCATACTATGATGATGATTATCTTGTCACCTTTAAAAATAATATATATTCCCGGGACCAGCAGTTAGCGTCATGGCTATGTTGCTGGACTCCCATGTAGTCGATCGCGATTCCAGTCCCAGACCCAGCTGCTTAAACTCATGCCAGGCACATGTGCATGCAGACCGAAGATCCCAAGAAGAGAATGGAGGAAAAGGGATTGTGGCATGGCCATTCCCCCGGGGGGTGATTTCTCGCTTTCTGTCTGTCTCTCTCTGTCTTTCTGGCAAGCACACGCACTGTATAGCAAAAACTTCTCCAAAAAAAAATTTTATATATATATATATATATATATATATAATTTATTTCCTGAGTACAAGAAAGAGATGTAAGCTCCCCAGACAGGGTCCTCATGCCATGATTCTCTCCCCAGCCCTGTAGCCTGCCAGAGCACATCCATGGGGGCACCTGATGTGCTCAAACAGACCGGGGATGCAAACTCAGAGTCTTCTCACATGGCTTCCAGCTTCAGCCCGACCACCTGTACCACTGCTGCTGGCCTAAACTGTCATATTTCTAAAGAACATTTGTCCATGATATTAAAATTCCCTCCCCAAATTAATTCCTTTAACTAAAACCTTGGGCTAAAGAAGTAATAAAAGATGTGCAAAATCTATGTCAGGATATTTTTACACTGTTTTGTTTTGTTTTGTTTTTTGAGAGATTTTTCGCTATAGGGCACGTGTGCTCGCCAGACAGACAGAGACAGAGAGACAGAAAGCGAGAAATCACCCCCCAAGGGGGATGGTCACGCCACAATCCCTTCTCCTCCATTCTCCTGTCAGGATCTTGGGCACGCATGCACACTCGCCCAGCATGAGTTTTAAGCCACCGGGTCCGGGACATGAACTGCGGTTGACTACGTGGGAGTCCAGCGACATAGCCATTACGCTAACTGCTGGTTCCCAGGATATTATTGCACTGTTTAGTTACAACTGAGAAAGGATTTTAAGTAAATAATGGTTAGAATCTCACATCATCACTAGAAAGTGTGTTGAGAAAGAATATATAAACATATTAAAATTTGCTCATATTATTTGGTTATGTTAAAAATAATCAACAGTGTAATCTCAATTTTTAATTACATAAGTTTGTAAAAGTATAATAAATAGCAAAGATTCTTTGGAGGTCATGAGATTGTAGGTCTGTGCTAATTATTTGGGTAATTTCTTATATTTTAATTTTTTTCTGAAGTAAGAATATAATACTTTTATAATCTGATAAGGGGAAGTATGATATTTCAAAAAAAATAAATAAAAACAATGAATGATTTGACCATTTGATGACAGGAAGTCTAAGAAGAGGAGATTACATCTGGGTTGCTGTGTAACACAGAGCAAATCACTTAACTGAATGTGTTTCTTTCGTTTAATTGAAATATTAGAATAAAAAAAATCTATCCTCTGAAATCATAACATTTTTCTTTTTTTCTTAAAGAATTATTCTATTTAACTTTATTTATTATTATTATTATTTTACAGTGTGATTAGAGAGAGACAGGGAAAAAAAAAAAGTTGTAAAGCAAGCCACCAGTTCCAGGACTTGAACCACGGTCGGCCCTGTGGGAGTCCAGCACCTTTCACCACCATGCCACCTGCCAACCCCCAAATCATAACATTTTTCTATGATAAATAAATATCTAAAATGTGAAAACATTTTATAAAATACAGAGCTAAGCAAAAGCATGGAATTATATCATAATTTTGTAAATGAATTTATTTAATTTTACTTATCATTATTATTATTTTAATTTTGCTGTAGGACTCATGTGCTTATGAGAGAAAGAGAGAGTGAGAAAGTGAGAAAGCAAGCCGCCAGGTCTGGGGCTCAAACTGCTGTTGCCCATGAGGGAATCCAGCGCCTTAGCCACTATACCACCTGCTGATCCCTGTATCATATTTTTTAACTTTATTTATTTCCTCCATGGACAAGAGAGAAAGAGAGAACAAGAGAGAGCACCCTTAACAGGGCTCTGATGCTGTAATCCATCCCTGACCCTCAATCAGCCCAGATCACAGACCCTTGTGTGCTCTGTGTACTCAGAAAGGATTTGGTTGAAGCAGAACCCTACCAGTGTGCATCTGTCTCTCAGAGCATTCTGTTTTACCACCATGTCACTGGCTAGCCCCTGTGTTGTAATTTTTAGTAGACAAGGAACATCATCAACTATGGTCCTTGGGAGGTAGAAGTGAGGATGCTTGACCCTGCTTTGTCCCTTTGTGTCCTCTCTTTCCAACTGGTGCTACACAATCCAGCTCACACTCTTCCCTCCCATCTTCTCACCTCTGTGTGTGGCAGAAAAGGTTCCATCCAGCTGCGTAAAAATTAAAAGTAATAGGAAGGAAGGACAGTAAGAGGATAAAAGAAAATAGGAGAGGAAAAACGAGGGTGTTTCCTCTCCCAACTTTAATAATGCCCTTAAAATTTTTGTTTGGACCTAGCTGAGGTGACATGTGCTGCTAAGATGCTGTTGTCTTCAGGTTGGGACTACATGATAGGCAAGGGGTTCAATTCTTGATCCAGCCTAACGGCAGAATGTGGGTGGACCCAGGCCAGAGAATTACAACACAGAAAGACTCTCTCTAAAGAAAAAAAAAAAAAAAAGCAAAGACAATGCACAAATGATACAAATGATTAATTTCTTTTTTTAAAAATTGAACAGGCTTCTGAAATGTCTGATATAATAACATTTTATATCACTTATCAATTAAGAACAAAGAACCCTTGTTAACAGTGGTTTTCTCTGGAGATGAAAATATATCTTAGTTTTTTGCATGATGCATTTCTGAATCATCTTAATTTTCTTAAATGGACATGATTTACTTCTACATTTTGAGATTAAAAAGTAACTGAAACTTGAGGAGAAGAAAACTGAAACTGGATTAGTTAAGGTACCTACTGAAGGAAATTTTGACTTAAAAAAATCAGACTCTTCCCCAAACTACAATAATGAACACAAATATTTTAATGAGACAATCACATGGTAATGTTACTATCAGAGAAAAAACTTATTATGATGTGAGTTGATGACTCAGTTGATTTAGGTTGTATTTGTAGTAGTCCTCCCACCCAGTTTCACTTTACACAATTTCAGTTATTGGTGCTCAGCCATGATCCAAAAATACGAGATGGAAAATTCCAGAAATAAACAATTCATAAGTTTAAAGCTGTGCCTGATGATGTCTCATGTAATCCTGCACCATTCCCTCTGAGGATAGGAGCCATCCCTTTGTCCAGCATACCCAAACTCCAAGCACTACCTGCCTGTTAGTCACTTAGTGGTCACCCAGATTACCACATCAGCCCTCATAGTCTCACAATGCTTCTGTTCAAATAACCCTTATTTTACTTAATAATAGTCACAGAGTACAAGAGTAATGGTGGTGGTATACTGCTATCATTGTTCTATTTTATGATTTAAATAAAACTTTATCATATGTACAAGTATGTATGGGAAAAATATAATATATGCTTATAGGGTTTGATAGTATCCATGGTTGCAGGCAGTAAAAGGAATACGACTGTATTCTCCTTTTTCTTCTATCTACAGGCACCGCTTTGTTATCTGTGGTTGCTTTTCCCTTAGAAGATTTCTATCTAGGCACTTACCATGTGATGAACAACATACCAAAAAAGGAGCAAGGCCAGCTGTTTTATGTAGCACTGTTGACCATCTGCCTTGGCACAGGGGGGATAAGAGCCATCATTTGTCCACTGGGTGCTTACGGCCTTCAGGAGTATGGATTGAAGAAACAAATGTCTTTTTTCAACTGGTATGTAACACTGGTTAGAAGGGAATGTAGGTTTATGACAGTCCTCTCCCTCCTGGGGTTTCTCATTATTTGCTTTCTGGGCCCATTCTGATAGTACAGTGGCCTTTCCGTCTTCGTACTACTTGGGCAGAGTAAATGGTGAGGTAATGACAACTAGGAGGATGATTCAGTCAGTAATCGTAGGAGCCATGGCTCAGATCCAGACCAAGACAACTGACCAGCACCTTCTCAGGACACGCTGGTAAATTTATCCTCCAAGTGAAAGAGGTGAAGAAGGGTGGCATGTTGAATAGAATGGGGCTTTGGGCCTAACAGCCTGGATAGACCTCTCCACTCTACTTAACACAAGCTGACTGACCTTGGCCAAGTCGTGTATGCTCTATTTATGAAGAAGGCTAGGGATACCTCTTTTTGGGTTTTATTAGAGATAATACTATACATATAATTGGCAGGGAATTTAGCACATAGTAAGTGATTAAAAAGAACCTACAGTTGTTTTTATTAGTGTATCTACGTTGTAACAGACTAAGTACACAGAAATTATAAACTCACAAGTCAATCCAGAGAGATGACAGAGATAGAAGTTTTTGTTTTGTTTTGTTTTTGTAGAGTTTTTTCAAAAAAATACAGGGTGCACACGCTCGCCAGAAAGACAGAGAGACAGAGAGACAGAAAGCAAGAAATCACCCAGCAGAGGGGATGGCCACACTGAAATCCTTTCTCCTCCATTCTTCTCTTGGGATCTTGGGCACACATGGACATGCGCCCAGCGTGAGTTTAAGCCACCGGGTCCGGGACTTGAACTGCGGTCGACTACATGGAAGTCCAGTGACATAGCCATTACGCTAACTGCTGGTCCCGGGATAGAAGAACTTTACCAGTTATCAATCTTAAATCAACTAGCCTCTTAGTTTCTCACATACTTTACCCTCAAGACTTTGAAAAGAGTTCATGTTTCATGAAAAATGAACTGCTGTGAATCTTTGGTTCTCTGAGTTCTTACAGCACAGCTTAGCAGTTTTTGTGTTTTTAAGGAACCAGTTTCTATTACTAAATACAAACTCTGGGAAAAAAATTAAAATTCAGATCTTAAAGGAGAGAAGTTCAGTGGTTATTGTAGTAGAAAATTTATTTGTTGTTTTCTCTTTATCAGAAGATATCAAGTAGATGAGAGTACATTAAGTCTTTTGCTCTTCCTCTTCTGTGAAATGGGTTGTCAACTTCTAAAATATTCTGTCTTTTCATCAGTGTTAGCAATGGATGAAAGTAATGCATGGATAGCATCAGCCAAATAGTCCAAGAAAATTCATCTTAAAGTTCTAAATAAAATAATTTTAGAGTAAACATTATCTAGGCCTAAGTCCCTATCCCAGGAAGTTCCTCTTTTCTCTCCTTCCTTCTTTCTTTTTTCTTTCTTTCTTTCTCTTTCTCTGCCTCCCCCCCCCCCTTTTCCAATTATATTAATATTACAAAGCACTCAGGCCTATTTTGGATTAAGTCCTAATGTCAGAGAACAATGCAGTTTTACCAGAAGTGGAAGGGACTCTTTACTTCCTTATATCAAATTCTGCCTCCTTGACCTGCCCAAAGGAGAAAGAAAAATCCTTCTTTTTTATTCTATTCGGAGGTTTTAATCCTTAATTAGCAACATCATTTTGATTAAATAAGACTCTGGAGGATTAAGACTGGAGAACAATCAGTTGTTCTGAAAGATAGCTCTGGAGAATTTATTGTACTGTGGTCTTAGTCATTCAGAGTTGTGTTTAATCAAAGTGACATTTCTCAGTGTTGATTACAAAGGAGACATTATATGAATGAAATATTTCCTTTGGGAAATGGAAGGGACTCCCAATGGGTTTGTGCTTTAGGGCTTTGGGGAAGGGGGATGGAAGATGGGGCGAAGATGAATTTTTGCAGCTATGAGGAACCAGGACAAATTTATGATGAACACATTTAGATTTTTTTAAAAATTCTTTTCTAATTTCATTGCATCTCTGATAAGAAGAATCATGCAGTGTTTTTTAAAACCTAAAGTTAAAGAATCTAGAAATGTATGTAAAGAATTAGATTTTTTTTAAGTTTATTTATTAGGTCATCAGAAAAGTTATAATGTGTTTTTTATGCAAAAATGTGTCATGACTTTCCCGATGACCCAATGTTTCTTCTATGAGTAGATGAGACAGAGAAAAACAGAGACAGAGAGACAGCAACCCCAGAAGGCTCTTGATTCTGCGATCTCCCCCAGCTTCAACCCACGCTTTCCCAGGATAACCAGGGGAGCTTCCAGATATAAACCCAGATGTAAATCCTTCCCTTGTGGGTCAGATTTACAGAGTATTGTGTTTTGTCACTGTGCCAACAACCACCTTCTCTTTCTTAAAGTTTGTTTAATTCTTCCCTGAGCAAGAGAAAGAGTGACAGAAAGATAACACTCCAACAGGCTCTTGATACCACTATCCCCTTACCCTCACTTTAGCCATCCCCATATCATGGGCACATATGTGCCTGGCATACTCAGGGATGTCCCTGGATGCAAACTCAAAACCTTCCCATGTGACTCTGCCTAGCAGAGCTTTTTGTTTTACCACTGTGCCATCTTTTAGCTTCTAGGAGGTTATTCTTTGATGTAATAAAAGATTGGATGGAAGTTTCTTGTTAGACTGATGAGCTGTTTTAGCTTTTTCCATTTTTTGGTTTAAACACTAAACTGGAATCAGCAGATGGTATAATGATTACATCACTAGACTCCTACATAGTAGATTGCGGTTTGAGAACCAGACCTAGAGTCTTAAAACTCACACTTGGTGCATGTGAGCATGCTTGAAATCCTAAGAGGAGACTGGAGGTGAAAGGATTGTATGTGGTTATCACCCCTGGGGGTAATTTCTCGCTTTCTGTCTCTTTGTCTCTCTGGTGAGTGCATGTGCCCTATAGCAAAATCTCTCAAATAAATAAAATAAATGCTAAATTACAAGACGACTTTTATGTACATTCACTTACTGCAGTTGGTTTGAATGAATGCTCATTCTCTTCCTGTACACATCTTAGAGCTTGGGGGCAGGATGTTTAGAGACCCTACTGGGCACCCAGAGAGTCAGCAGAATCCTGACTCTCACTTAGGAGTTTTATGACCTTCAAAGAAAGAGTTTCTCAGTCTCTCAGAACCCCATGTTCCTCATCCACAAAATGGGAATATGTTGGAGAGTCATTGAATCACGTACGTAATGTCTTCACAATACAGGCATTCACATTGTAAGAACTATTTTTAGTATTTTTAAAGCTGAATAAGGCATCAGCTAAAATTATTGTTAAATGCTGAGAAAGAAGGAACTCATTTAAGAGGAGGTCATCTTTCAAACAAACAATTCATTAATTCATAAACCATTTGTTCAAGTCAAAAAAAAAAAAATGTGTCTAGGAGTTACAAGCCTACAGGCCAGCAGAAGGCATAGTGGTATGTCACTGGACTCCCACAAGGCCAACCCCAGTTGAGGCCCAGACCTGGTTGCTTGAAAGTCATGTCAGGCACATGTGCTTATGTGCCCAAGATTCTTTTTTTTTTTTTTTTTTTGAGAGGTTTTTCGCTGTAGAGCGCATGTGCTCACCAGACAGACAGAGAGAGACATAGAGACAGAATGCGAGAAATCACCCCCCAGAGGGGATGGTCATGCTGCAATCCCTTCTCCTCCATTCGGGATCTTGGGCACGCATGCACACGCACCCAGCGTGAGTTTTAAGCCACCGGGTCCAGGACGTGAACCGCGGTCGACTACGTGGGAGTCCAGCGACATAGCCATTATGCTAACTGCTGGATCCCCTGTGCCAAGATTCTAGGAGGAGAATGGAGGATAAGGAATTGCCACCCCTCACCACTATCTCTATCTCTTTCTCTAGCGAGTGCACATGCCCTCGTGCTGTGGCAACCCCTCCCCACTATCTCTGTCTCTCTCTCTTTCTCCAGCGACTGCATGTGCCCTATGGCAAAAACCTCTAAAAGAAAAGAAGAAAAGGAATTACAAGCCTAGCAAATATCAATAATTTCAATAGTGCCTTATACAAAACAACATACCTCTTGAATCTATAACCACGTGAAGACTGCATTCAGTCCTATTTTCAGCACAGATGTCAGATGCTCGTAGTTACGGGACCTTTGATGAGATGTGTCACTGCGTTCATACCACCTAAAGCTTCCCAATGATCGTGTTAAGTAGTAGGCTGGAAGTCTCAGGCACTGAAAGTACCACTTCCGAGCAAAGCTGCCAAATGTAGGTGAGAAAACCACTCCTAGCCAACATTACCATCTGGTACTGGATCTTCCTCAACTGTGTACCTCATTGAATGAATAAAGCTATATACTCCCTGAAATCAAGGGGCATAATAATCTGCCAACATCTTTGTACCTTTATCCAGATCAGAGCCTGGCTCTCTCAACATTTTCCAAAATCTGAGGTGTACAATTAAGAGTCACCACACTGGAGATAATCTAGGTAAATACACCTGTGCAGATTCTTTTCTGGAAGCAAAAAAGAAGATGGGTAATTAAGTCTGTTCATGGCCATAATTTTAAATTCTACCACAATTAACCTCAAATCCTGCTTCTGCATTTCTCTACTTACTTCACCTGTTAATTTGCATCCTATCTGCATATCACAGTCTGTTGCTAAGGGGTTACCAGAGTGGATTATACGTGATTGAAGGCTCAAATAGAATATTGGTAAAGTTCTTGAAAAGTCTGATTGTTCCATTCCACAAAATTTGAAAATACTGATTTATTCCATTCCAGAAATTTTGACAATGCAATACTCAAAGAGACCCTTCAGGATATCTGTCTGATACCGAAATATTCTGACTTTAATGTTTCCTTTCTCAAATTTAATATCACTTATTTTAGGGACACACTAGAGATAAAATGGATTATTCCACATTATTTTTTCTAGAGGTTGTTTTAATATGCACCTGCATCATTCAAGAACAGATTTCTCACTGCTTGATGTACATTA